TATTTGGAAGATTTTTTGATATTTTATTTGGTATATTTTCTGTAATATATTTTGGCACATTTTTTGATATTTTATTTGGTATATTTTTTGATATATTTTCTGATATTTTATTTGATATTTTTTATCTGGCATATTTTCTGGTATTTTATCTGATATTTTATTTGACATATTTTTTGATATTTTATTTGATATATCTTTTGGTATTTTATTTGGCAAAAATTCTGATATTTTATTTACAATATTTTCCTGATATTTTTTTATCTGATATTTTATTTGGTATACCTTTTGACATTCTATTTGGCATATTTCTAACATTCTATGTGGTATATGGTACTCTGTCCGGTATATCTTATAAGATTTTATTTGGTATATTTTCTGGTATTTTATTTGATATTTTTTTTGGTATATCTTCTGATAATTTATTTGATATATTTTTAAATATTTTATCTGATATATTTTCTGGCATTTTATTTGATATATTTCATGACATTTTATTTGGTATATCTTCTGACATTCTATCTGACATTTTATCTGGCATATCTTCTGGTATTCTATCTGGCCGTTGAGGTCCAGCGGTGCATATTGAGCTGGACAGGTCCCAGGTTGAGGTCGAGCGGTGCATACTGAGCTGGGAAGGTCCCAGGTTGAGGTCCAGCGGTATATATTGAGCTCGGAAGTTGATGAAGAGTTTGGCGAAGAGTTGGTAAGGCGGAAGTAAAGCTGGAAATTGATGCAGATATGGTCGAGGAAAAATTGGAAAAGGAGGCGGAGGAGGAGGAAAAGGAGGAGGAAAATTAATCGAGGAGGAAAACTAATCGAGGAGGAAAACTAATCGAGGAGGAAAAGAATAATTTTGATAAAATCTAATAACCCTTACCTGACAGGTGGGGAAATAATATATTTAAGGAATATAATATATATAGAAATAAAATATAATTTATAATTTTTAAAAATAGATTTTTTTAATTAAGGTAAATTTAATAATTAAAATTTATTATAAAATAAATTTTAAAAATAATATATTATGAAATTATTATTATTTATATATTTAATATGGTTTATTTGATTTTTAATATTTTAATTTTTATATTTATATATGTTTGTTAAATATATTTTATTTTATTTATTTTTTAATTTTTTTTGAAATAAATTTAATATAAATATAAAAATAAACTAAAAAATTATTATAAATAAATATTATTATTTAAATTTAACTAGGAATTGAT